CACCTTGCCCCTTATCAGAGCACCTTGGAAGAACTGACACTTTTCAGGTCCCTAGAAGTATCTCTGAAAACAGGTGTACAAACCCCCGAAGCTTGGGACAGTACATTCTCCACATTGGAAACAGACTCTTACCTTAACAAAGAGTTTAAAACTCAAGTAATTGGCTGGGATCATGAGCAAGCAGCGCAAAAAGAGTCAGACTATATTATCTTACTTTGGTGACAAAGAAGATCAAAACATACAACCAGAAGAAGAAAACAAAGTCAAAGCTCCTACATCCAAAACTTCCAAGAAAAATATGAATCAGTCCCAGGCCTTGGAAGAGCTCAAAAGGGATTTTGAGAAGCAAGTAAGAGAAGTACAGGAAAAAATGGGAAGAGAAATGAGAGTGATGCAAGAAAATCATGAAAAGCAAGTTGACAGCTTGCTAAAGGAGACCCAAAAAGATACTGAAGAAAATAACACCTTAAAAAATAGCCTAACCCAAATGGCAAAAGAGGTCCAAAAAGCCAATGAAGAGAAGAATGCCCTAAAGAGCAAAATTGTCCAAATGGAAAAGGAAGTCCAAAAGCTTACTGAAGAAAATACTTCCTTAAAAATTAGAATAGATCAATTGGAAGCTAGTGACTTTATGAGAAATCAAGACACTGTAAAACAAATCCAAAAGAATGAAAAATTAGAAAACAATGTGAAATATCTCAATGGAAAAACAACTGACCTGGAAAATAGATCCAGGAGAGAGAATTTAAAAGTTATTGGACTATCTGAAAGCCATGATCAAAAAAAGAGCCTAGACATCATCTTTCAAGAAATTATCAAGGAAAATTGCCCTGATATTTTAGAACCAGAGGGCAAAATAGAAATTGAAAGAATCCACCAATCTCCTCCTGAAAGAGATCCCCAAAGGAAAACTCTTAGGAATATTGTAGCCAAGTTCCAGAGCTCCCAGTCAAGGAGAAAATATTACAAGCAGCCAGAAAGAAACAATTCAAGTACTGTGGAAACACAATCAGGATAACACTAGATTTAGCAGCTTCTACGTTAAGGGACCACAGGGCATGGAATATAATATTCTGGAGGGCAAAGGAGATAGGATTACAACCAAGAATCACCTACCCAGCAAAACTGAGTATAATTCTTCAGGGGGAAAAATGGTCATTCAGTGAAATAGAGGACTTTCAAGCATTCTTGATGAAAAGACCAGAGCTGAATAGAAAATTTGACTTTCTAATACAAGACTCAAGTGGAACATGAAGAGGTAAACAGGAAAAGAGAAATCATAAGAGACTTATTAAGGTTGAACTGTTTACATTCCTGCATGGAAAGATGATATTTGTAACTCATGAGACCTTTGTCAGTATTAGGGTAGTTGGAGGGGAAAAAATTATATGTATGTATAGATATAGATAGATAGATAGATAGATAGAGGGCACAGGGTGAGTTGAAAATGAAGGGGTCATATCTGGAGAATAAAATTAAGGGGTGAGAGAGGATTATATTAGGAGAAGGACAAAGGGAGAGGTAGAACAGGGTAAATTATCTCACAAAAAAAAAAACCCAGAAAAGAAAAGGCTCTTACAGTGGAGGGGAAACGGGGGAAGGTGAGAGAGAATGAGTGAATCTTATTCTCATAGAATTTGACTTAAGGAGGGAATAACATACGCACTCAGTTGGGTATGGAAATCTGTCTTACCCTACAGGAAAATGGGTGGGGGGAAGGGGATAAGAGAGTAGTGGGATGATAGAGAGGAGGGCAGATTGGGAAAGGGTGTAATCAGAAGCAAATACTTCTGAGGAGGGACAGGGTCAAAAGAAAGAATAGAATAAATGGGGGTGGGATAGGATTAGGGGAAATAGAGTTAGTTTTTCACAGCATGTCTACTATGGAAGTGTTTTGCATAACTGCACATGTATAGCCTATATTGAGTTGCTTGCCTTTTCAATGAGGGTGAGTGGGGAGGGAGGAAGGGAGAAAATTTGGAACCCAAAGTTTTAAAAACACATGTTTAAAAAAAAATGTTTTTACATGCAACTGGGAAATAAGAAATACAGGAAATGGGGTACAGAGATCTATCCTGCCCTACAGGAAAATAGAAGGGGAAGGAGGGGAGAGATAGCAGAAAAAGCAGACTAGGGGAAGGGATATTCAGAATGCATGCCATCTTGGGGTGGGGGGAGGGGCGAGATGGGGTGAAAATTTGGAACTCAAAATCTTGTGGAAGTAAATGTTGAAAACTAAAAAGAAAAAAAAAGAAAAAAAAGAACGAAGGATGAACAAACCCCCCTTCAAAAAAAAAAAAAAAAGAAAGAAAAAGGCTCTGATAAGACTTACTCAACACAGAGTTGCCATAAACCTTTGATTTGTAAAAAGCACAATTTCTGTGAAGCGCAATAAAACAAAGTACAAAAAAAAAAGAATAAGAAGCTTCAGCAGCAATCCATCAACAACTAACCAATAAACATTTATTAAGCACCTACCATGTGCCCAGCACTGTGCTAAGCAACAGAGGTCAGACTTGGCAAATGGCAGTAAAACCCAGCAGCTGATTATAACAGCAGCTTTGTAAAGAAGCAAATAGTAGCTTCAGGATCATAACTCATCAACTTAAAATGGAATGGTGAGAAGAATTCTAGAAATAGGAAACTATGAGAAATATTCTAGATAGGGTATAACCCTAAGAGCATGAGCTGTATGAAAAATATTATTTCCTCCACTGGTGGCATGGAAATTTGTATAGGTTGTATCCTTTTGTATAAGGAGAATTTCCTCTTTTTATTTACTTTCCTATTCTCTCTTAATTAAAAGCTTTGCTAGTTGAAAAAAAAAAGTGGGAAACAATAGGTGAGAAACACTGCATATGATATCATGTTTGCATAATGTGTTAGGTAGTTTTAGCCAAACTGATTTATTTCCCCTTTTTCTTTGTTATATGGGTTGAATCTCTTGGAAGGTGAGAAGCAAGGGTTATATTGGGACATGAAAGTGATATAAAAACAAGAGATCAATAAATTTTAAAAGTCATTTGGTGGTGGAAAAAGGTTATTATGGATATCTTTTTTAGATCTTTTTCATTTTTCAACTTTCTTTGTTCTCATTTCATCTTTAAAATCTTCCAGATGACTTTATTTAGTTTTTTGAGTCTATCATCAAACTTTCTCTATTATCCTTTTAAGATGAGATACTGCTTATGTTACAATCCTCCTAAACAAAATTTTTCAAAAATTAATTTTGCTAGGGGCAGCTAGGTGGTGCAGTGGATAGAACTCTGGCCTTGGAATCAGGAGGATCTGAGTTCAAATGTGGCCTCAGACACTTGACACTTACTCGCTGTGTGACCCTGGGCAGGTCACTTAACCTCTATTGCCTCAGTAAAAAAAAAAAAATTAATTTTGCTGATGCTTTTTGTCTTTGAATCCCATCCATTTCATGCCCATGCCCTCCAGACTGAACCCTCCATTATGACAAAGAAAACTAAGTAAAAACATCAATACAGAAATTTTGTAAGATAATTTGTATAATATTTTATCCTAGAATTCTTTCACTTCTCAGCTGTGATGGAGGAGATATGTTCTGTTATTTCTTCTTCTGGAAGTTCCTCCCCCCAACCCAGTATTTAGAGTTGAACTTCCTTTTAGGGTTATTTTCATTTATTTTGTCATAGTCATATATATTATTCTCTTAGTTCTACTTATTTTGTTCTGCATTATTTCATTAAATCATCCCATGCTTCTCTAAATTTGTCATTTCTTCCTGTATGTTAATTAACTCACACTGTACCCAATTACTTTACATGCTATAGTTTTTTCCAGCAATTCTCTTTTCTTAAAATTTTAGAAGTGAGTTTTTTTCCCAAACCAGTATTGCCTTGGTTGCCATGTTTCTTTTGTCAAGGAGATCCAAGTATTTGCTGGATAAGTAGTTTTTAGTATTTTTTTTATCTCCTTATTATGAAGATTGATTTACATGAATTAAACTTCTCTAGTAATAGTCTATGTCTCTGTATTCTTTTATCCATTTCCTTATTTTTTGGCCTTAAGAGCTTTTAAAAATAGGTCATGTTGGAATTGCCTCATTTGTATGACATATCTCCTTATTTTTATTCTTCTCTTTTGATGCTGATTTTGATCCTTGTTCTAACAAGGATCTGACTATATACAGACAACTGATTTAGACATGACTCCTACATCATTAACCGGTTAGTTGAAGATCACTTATGTGGATGAGGGATTAAACTTCAGAGAGTAACCCTAGGTGCAGAGCATGGCACTTGTAGAGGTAGATTTAGGCTTGCTGTGAGGGATAACATGCTAACAATCAGAGCTATCCAAATGTGGAATAGCTTTCTCCAGGAGATAAGGTTGGACTCCCACTTGGTCAGGGGTTGTAGATGACATTCTAGGCTAGCTGTGATTTAGGTTTAAATAGCTCTGAGTTCCCTTCTAACTTGGACTTTCTATGATTCTGTGATTTCTTAGGTCCCTTTCAAATTCTAAGTAAGGTTCTATGATTCAATTTATTTCAAAGAAGCAGTTTAAAAAGATGAATATAGTAACATCAGGTCATCTGAATGATCTGAAAACCTTATCATTCCTCAAAGTTATCTTTAAACTCTCTAAAACTAATAATATACAATAGCTCAAGCCAGTCTGTGTAATGAAAACTAGAGAAAAAAATGAATGAACGAATCATAGGTTCTATGTATATCATCATTGAATGATATCTTAGGTTGAACACAGTTGCAGCACCTGATTTTTATATTATGTACATGTTATACATTGTAGATTCAAGGGCATATTCTATATCTTTTTTATCCCAAAGCAAGATTTGTGAAATATAGTTCCCAGAAGTTGAAAAAAGAATAAACGAACCTTTCCTCTTTCATATTCAGGATCAAGAAATTTTGTAGAATGTTTTAACTGCTTGAATAAGGATTTCACTGATACCATAGAGAAAACCAAATCCTGCTTCAAAATTAACTATTAATTTTGTTCAATTGTAGCTAAAGGAGGATTTAAGAAATTCAGAGAAGAAGCATCAAGAGATTCTTCGAAGGTTGGAAGGCAGATTTTTTGAAGAAAAGGTATAGAATGTTAGCATCTGTTTAAGAAATTAAAGTAGAACAAATTCCTGCTCCCTCTGTATGTACCTAGTTATTATTTTGTTTTAATATCTTTGTAAATTTTATTACCTGCTTGCTAAGACTCAATAACAGTTTTCTAATATGATACGAATTTAGTAAATAAGTAAGTCAGGTTGATGTGTCCTGTAGAGAGCTACTGCTCTCTATTTTTTTCTCTATTCCTTTTCCCTGCACTTCTCTTTTTGAAAATTATTTGGTTAATCATAGACACCCTGAAAGAAGTCTTCCTGCCTTTTCTTTCTCACTTACTGTTAAGTTATTCACTAGGTAAGAGTACTCTTGACCTGGATATGATTGCTTTTCTTTCTCCTGTTCCATAGAATGACTAGACTAATTCAGCTGCTAATTTTGTTGTACTTTTGAAATTTTTTCCCCCCAAATCTAAAATCTTAATGTATGCTAGCATTTTTATCTACAGCTTAGTATATAACCAAGAATGTAACCATCTTGTTCTTTCTGTTAGTGCCGACTAGAGAAAGAGGCTGAGAAGAAGATAGTCATGCTGGCAGAGAGAGCCCACCAGGAAGCCATTGTGTAAGAGATTGTTTTTGTCCAGCTGATTTCTCTCTTTTCCAGTTTCTTCTTATCTTTTATTTTGGTTTTATCTTTTTTTAGGTGTGTCACTTTCTTATTCTTTTTACTTGACTTTTTGCATGCATTTTTCTATCTGTTCATTTCTTTTGATATTTCTCTGTCATTTTTGCTACGACAGTCATTTAAGGACTACATCAATTAGTAAGGATTTAGCTATTTAGTATTAAAAGACTTAAACATTTTCTTGATATTCTTATTCTCTCCTCGTCTTGTCCTCACTGATGTCAGAGGTGAAGCAGTCATTGGCCTAGGTTGGCAGCCCCTTTGTGTGCCTATGGCTTTTCTTAAGCTTACACTTAAAGATATCAGAAGATTCATGATTTCATCAGTATTTCCACTACTAATAGAGATTAAAACCCTTCATGTTTAAGGATGATAGATTTAGAGATGGACTGGGTGAGGTCATCTAGTCCAACCTCATTATTTCATAGATGAGGAAATTGAGGTTCAGAATGACTTACCCAAGGTAACACCACTAGAAAGTGGCAGTCAGGATTAGAATTAAAACCCACTGATTGTAGATTCAGTGCTCTGTGTAGTCTTCCTCTGTTCCTGTGTCTCTCCCCCTCCCCCTCACCCCCCCAAAGCCTTATCATCTTATAGTCAATCTATCAGTGATAAGATTCTTCAAACTTGGTAGATTGGTCAGGTGCCAGGCTTCTACTCATCCTTTCCAACTCAGTAGGGAGAGCTTCAATCAACAAGCATTTCTTAAGTGCTTACTATGAGCGGGGCACTGTGATAAATTATGCTGGGTCTACAAATAAAAGTAAAGACAAAGTCAGAGCTTACACTCCCCTGGCATAAGCTTTGTGTCCTTGAGGCTAATTCCTCTCTGCAATGAGGTGTTAGTGTAGGACTTTTGTGGAAATTTTCTTAAGCTGTTGCCCCCAAATGGTAATATCAGAGTTGTCATGGATTTGATCTCCTACCTATCAATCTGTTGCAGTCAATTGAACAATGCTGGGAGAGCTGTATTTAAAGAGAATGTTCGTCTTCAGAAGGCTCTTGCTTTCCATGTGAAAGAAGCCAATGAGCTACAGATAAACACAAGCAAGTTGCAAGAGAGTCAGACTTTGCTCCTACAACAGAAGGTTCTTGCTCCTATTTATATTTCAACTTCACCTTTTATTAATAATAGGCTTATAATGTTACACAAGGATACCATAACATCATCTTGATTATTCAGCTCCATCTTTATGATAATCAGAAAACAATTATGAAACTGTGATTTGCTGTGCTAGGAATTGCCCAAAGCAAGTTGGAAATATCAAATTTCAGTTCTCTAGAAGAAAGTGGTAAGCCAGGTGATAAACCTGAATTATAAGACCAGGAAGTTTGAAAGAGATTCATGTAACAGAATACAGGAATGTCTAGTCCTGTTTGTGCCAGCCAGTCCCCACTCCTGGTTTTGTCACCTTGTCCCAGTGAACCCCAAAAACTTGAGACTGGGTCAGCATTATTGGTAGTGGCTTCAGAAATAGCGAGGAGGCTTATGTTGTGGGGAAGATAGCAATATAAGGTCATCCAGTCTATTGACTCTTGAACATGTAAAAACTAAAACCTGAACTGACTTGAAAGTCAGTATGTGTGTCTACTTTCCTGACACTTTGAATATGCTGTCACAGGATCATAGATTTAGAACTGGAAGGAAGCCCAAAGGTCCAATTCTCTCTAGTCCAACCCTTTCATTTTACTGATTAGGAACCTTAAGTGGTTCAGTGATTTGCCCAGGATCATACAGCTAATAATTGACAAAGCAGGAATGTGAACTTAGGCCCTCTGAAACCAAATCCAGCACCCTTTCCACTATAGCATACACCATTCAAATCTCTTAAAATTAAGATTAAAATCAAATTGCCATTTTCCCTCTCCTATTTTTAATATCTTTGTGCCCTGCTTATTATTGTAGGATTGCTCCTAAGTACAGCCATTTCCAGTGGGGAAAGTTGTGTGACTAGAAGTTGCCAACATAGGGAGGGGCTTACTGAAGTATTTTCTAGCTTTCTGATGGCTCATGAGCACTCCACATTCCTGGTTATGGACCATCATCAAGGACTCACCCAACCTCATACAGTTCATGGGACTAGCTCTTGGTCATCATTATAGAGCTTAAAGAAGGTTTAGCAACCTGTAAAGTGGGCTTGGGTTCTTGAACTTTCATAAACATGATGAAAAATTACTCTGGACATGGACAAGGATGGATGAGAGGGAGGAGGGATTGAATACAAGGAAAATAGTTAATGAGGGGCAGAACTTCAATAGTGGAAATGAAAAGAGAGGGATAAACCCAAGAGAAATGTGACTTTTTACATTTGAACTTTGTCTTTGTTGTTCTTTGCCTTCAAACATTATCAAAGGTTTGTTAAAGATTTAACTATTGTGATAATAATAATGTCTTTTGTGTTGGAATTTCCTTAGTACACCTGTAAAAAATGAAACCCTCTTATTAGTATTGGCTTCTTCATGAAGGACATATTTTATTTTTATACTCTGTACAAAAAATAATCTTAGTTTTCTGATTGAGATCATGGTGTGTTATTATGAAGTAGCTTAGTGGTAAAGTGAAAATTTACAGTAGAACTAGTGATCAACACTTAAAATTGTAGGAAAGTTGTGGTTGTATGGAATTGCAGAAATATTTACATATAATAAAGTATTCATAATCTGGGTCAAGGTTGCACAGAGAAGGGAGAAGAATTCTACGTTAGGAAGGGGTGGAAAAATCTTTTGTTTTCTGATTGGGTAAGTTGCTTTATCTTTCTAGGCCTTTTTTCCTTCTGGTGCTAATGTTCTGAAATGGAACATAAGGAAATACAATGCCTCCTCCTAGTAATTTCTTCTTCAACTTTAGCCATGTATTTAGTAGGTCCTTAACAAGTATTTATTTAAATAAATGTGTTTTCTTGTGCTGTCAGGCCAACTCTGGAGTTGTAAAGAACTTAGTACATCTAGGTGGACATTACTTAATGCACAGTAAGAATTGAAGGGAAGCCATCAGGGAAGGTTTCAATTGCTTGTGGAGCATACCCAGAGATGTTTGCTATTGTGCCCAGTAGTTAAGAGTACCTAGATTGTAACTCCAAAGCCTCAACCTCATGAAGTGATGGTAACTAATGAAAGTACTTTGTGGTAACTAAGGAGAGTATTTTTGAGTTTTGAACTAATTCAAGAAAAATTTAAAATCTGAACTATTTTTCATTCTGCTTTAGGAAACCAATGAGCTGTTGATTAGGGAAAAGATTGTGCAAATAACTCAGCATAGAGCCCAGATTCAGTGTCTTCAGAAGAAAGTGGAAAAACTGGAGACAGCCCTGGGTTATATGACTGCTGAGTTTGAGACTGAAATTAAAAAAATCCAGGAGCAAGCATTTCTAGAGAACCAGGCAAGCCGGGTGGAAATTAATAAGCTGGAACAGGTCCTTGAAATGAAAGACAGAGAGATGAATCGAGTAAAGAGATTGGCCAGGAACATCCTGGATGAGCGAACGGAAGTGGAGAGGTTCTTCCTGGATGCTCTGTATGAAGTGAAGCAACAAATCGTTCTTAGCAGGAAGAATTACAAGCAGATGGCCCAAGCAGCTTTTAATTTAAAAATGAGACAGGCGTATGCAGGAAGAACGGAGTATCCCAGAATCCGGACATTTGATGGCAGAGTCCACAGCACCAACAGTATAAACCAAGATCTTAGGGAGGCAGAGAAATGGTATGAATAATTCTTTAATGTAATATGCTATGTGCTGTCATGTATATGTGTACTATGGTTAGATTAGAATTCTTAAAAGTCCTCTTTAATTATATCTGAATTAAGAACACATGAGAGTATGAAATATGTGAATACTGGAGCCGGTTGTGAATCATGTAGCAAGATTCGTTTTATTCTTGTTTGAAAATTTAAATCTTGCTGTTCCCTTCCCTTTGTAATTTGTAGGCCAGTTTATTAGAATGAATTCTCTTGGAGGATGATCTTTAAAAGACACTGAGTGTTTCAACACCAATTGTACGAGAACTCTTCAGAGGCTGTCAGTGATCACGAGCCTAACTTTCTAGTTAGTTCCTAGTATGTGCCAGACTTCTTAACCAAATGTCCTTTCATATTTTACATCTGCTGAAAGTGAGGAACAACACTGTTCTGTCACTGTATCTTAAAGATAAGATAGAGACTTTCCAGGACCCCAAACTATAATTCTTTACCACCTTCTAATACATAGCAATTTGTGGTGGGACTGCTCTTACACACCAGGTACGTGGTTACGTATTCTTTCCTTTTTATCGAAGCAGTAACATGAAATGATCCGTGTCTTCAAGCACCTTACAGTTTAGTTGGCCTCTCAGCTGAATATAAACAAAAATAAATAGCGAAGTAGGATAGCATATGTTAAGTGCCAAGTGGATGAAATAAGGCAACACATACTACAAGACATCAGAGGCAGTCTAGGGTGCCAGGGGAAGGCTTGAGTAATTAATTTTGATTTTCATGTTATAATATTTGTTTTTTGTGTTGCTTTAAAATTTTTATTATGGTACAATCAATTATCATCTCTTTTTAAAATGAACCCATTTTGATTTCCATTTCCAAAACTGGTCAGGCATATGAACAAGGAAAAAAGTACAGAAAACAGAAAATAACTGTGACTATAAATGATTGTACATATAATCAATTGTATGTCCTTTTTTTTTACCTAAAAGCAAAAGCCATATTAATTTTAATAAGACAGTAGCAAAATTATCCTATGTATTTAACATGGATTTTTTTCCTGTTTAGTGTTTTTATTTGCCTTTTTGACAGCGTGTATATTATTCTCTCAATTCTGTTTTCTTTTCTGTATCACTTTCACATAAGTCTGACCATATTTCTTTGAATTCTACACATTTTTCATCTCCAGAGAACAACCACTATGATCCAATAGAATTCTTATGAAAGAAAAATCAACTACTACAGGAGGCTGAGGCTAGTGAATCTTTTGAGCTCTGTAGTTTTGAGCAGCAGTGGGCTTTGCTATCTGGTGTGTGTACCAAGTTCAGCCTTGACAGGATGTGCACCTGGGAGCTGGGGGTGACCAGGTTGCCAAAAATGTGATGGAGAGGCCCAGGTCAGAAACAGAGCAGGCCAGAGCTTCTGTGCTGATAGTATAGAATTGGGCCATGAGTAGCCTCTGTGCTTGCAGCCTGAGTAAGATAGGGAAATGTTGTCTTTTTTTTTTTTTTTTTTTAAAGAAAGCGAGCAATCAAGAAGGCCCTTACCCCCACCCCAAGCATGTTGAATGAACCCCCTGTGGTGAACATAGAGGAGATAGACAGGAGTCATGAAGGATGAGTAGGCTTAGGTTAGTTTGTGGTTTGTTTTGGTGGAGAGAATACCCACACTGATGAGATCACAGGTCCATATGAATACTTGAGTATATAGCGCAATAACATTTCATCACATTTGTTTATTAAACCATTCTTCAATCATTGGACTTAATAGTTTCCAGTTTTTTGCTATTACAAATAGCCCAAAGAGGGAATGTCTTGCTTGTGAAATAGCCAGGAGGCCAGTCTCACAGGATCCAAGAGTATGTGTTTGGAAGTAAGGTATAAGAAGACTGGAAAGGTAGGAAGAGGCCAGTTTATGGCTGTAAATGCCACACAGAGCATTAGTTCAGATTTTAAATTTTTCTTGAATTAGTTCAAAATTCAAAAATACTCTCCTTAGTTACCACAAAGTACTTTCATTAGTTACCATCACTTCATGAGGTTGGAGCTTTGGAGTTACAATCTAGGTACTCTTAACTACTGGGCACAATAACAAACATCCCTGGGTATGATCCTGAAGGCAATAGGGAGCCGCTGGAGTTTCTTGAGTAGAGGGAGTGACCACTTAGCTACTGAGGAATGTCTTGGTCTTATAATATCTGTTAATTGTTTATTATCTTGGATATTTGATAATTTGAAAGATTTTTTTCCCGTTTGATTGTTTCCCTTCTTATCCTAAGTGATTTTGTTTGTGTGGAAGTTTTTCAGTTCAATACAATCAATTTTATCTGTTTTATCTTCTTCAATTGGCTTTATCATTTGTTTAGTTAAGAAAACATGAGAGGTGAGTGACCTACTTCTCTTCTAATTATTTGTTGTTCAGTTGTTTTCAGGCCGGTCCAATGCTTTGTGACCCCATTTGGGGTTTTCTTGGCAAAGATACTGGAGTGGTTTACCATTTCCTTCTCTAGCTCATTTTACAGATGAAGAAACTGAGGAAAACAGGGGTTAAGAGACTTGCCCAGGGGCAGCGAGGTGGTGCATTGGATAGAGCACTGGCCCTGATGTCAGGAGGACCTGAGTTCAAATCCAGCCTCAGACCAAACACTTAACACTTACTAGCTGTGTGACCCTGGGCAAGTCACTTAACTCCAATTGCCTTAAAAAAAAAGAAAAAAGAAAAAAAACTTGCCCAGGGTCACATAGCTAGTAAGTGTCTGAGGCCAGATTTGAATTCAGGAAGATAAGTCTTCCTGACTCCAGGCCTAGTACTGTATCCACTGTACCACCTAGTTGCCCTATTCTTTATGGCATGATCTTTGATATTCAGGTTACATATTAGTATCATGGATTATAGTGTAAGGTGCTGGTCCAAGCTTAGTTCTGCATGACTGCTTTCCAGTTTTCCCAGCAGTTTTTATCAAGTAGGTAGTTCTTTCCTAAGTAATTTAAGTTTTCTGGTTTAGCAAACCCTGGGATATTGAGTTCCATTGTTTCTGATTCTCCGTTGTTGTTCTGCCTCTCTAGTTTTTAATCCAAGATCAGATGGTTTTGATGACTACTGCTTTATAATATAATTTGAGGTCTTAGAAGTGTGCCATTCCTGTTTTGCTGCCTACCTCTTTTCATTATTTCCTTTGATATTCTAGATCTTTATTTTTTACAAATTAATTTTGTTGTTTTGTGATTTCTGTAAAGTATCCCTTTGATAATTATATTGGCATAACATTAAAAGTGTAAACTAACTTTGGTAATATTATCACTTTTATTATATTGGCACGGCACAGCCATTCCTTCTCATTCCTTCTGCTATATAAGTTGTTCTTTATTTCTTTAATAGTACCAGTCTCTTAACTAGGTTAGATAATTTTTTAGGTCATTTCCAGCCCATTCATTCTGTTTAAAACATCAGTTGATTTGTGTACAACTCATAATAAAATATATTTACTACAATGGTTATGAAATCCTTATTTTCTACTGCCTCAGTTTTTTTAGAGATTTTACATTTTCCTTCTGAAGCTTCCTTTAGCTGGTTTTACCTTGCACTAATATTTTTATTTGTAATTACTCAGGACAAACATTAAAAAAGGAATGGATGTGGATATTGGAGACTTGACATGGGAACAGAAGGAAAAAGTTTTGAGGTTACTCTTTGCAAAAATGAATGGTTGTCCTCCAATGTAAGTTCCTGATTCTTCAAATAATGGTAATAGTTCAATATCAAGTTATGTCAGCCCTTGGAACCATACAAAAATAAGGAGTATGAGCTGTTATGCTGTCATTTAGGGATGAAGTTGGGGATAAAGCATCTGGTTTGTGTTCGGGAAGTTTGAAAATACTGTAATAATTTTTAAACCACAAAATTAGGGTGATAAATTGACTAAATGTATAGGAAAATTAAGAAAAGCAAAAATAAAAGGTAGGGAAACAAAGAAAATTTAAGTTTAGATATTCCAAATATCTAAGGATGTAAACATCTCTGATAAGAAAGGTAATAACCTTTCTTATATATTTTTCTTTCTTTCATATATATATATGTATATATATATATATTTATTTATATTGGGAGTCAGGATTTTTGCCCAGTTGGTGATAAGGGTAAAAGATGGAAAATTACCCTAATTTTTTTTGTATATATGTGTTTATTTTTTAAATAGACAAGAAAAATTGTTTTATTTTTGTTACTTTGTATCCTTAAATTTCACAAATTTAGTTTTTTTTAGTGTATCACTTAAATCATATGATTCTGAGGCTTAAAAATCAAACTATTTCTTCAGTTCTTCAATGGATCCACATCCTTATTTATGTAGGGGTAACCCTACCAATGTGATTTACCAGCCATACAAACTTAAAAAATAATGTTAAATGTTGTTTTTATATGTAATTGGGGGAAAAATAAAAATATTATTTTAAAAAACCCATTCTAGTCAACTACAGAAACAAAGTTCTAAAATATTCATTATAGCACTCTGTAGTGACAAAGAACTGGAAAGAAAAGTGTGTGCTCATCAAATGATGAATGGTATAGGCAAAACTGATAAATGGATGTGATGGAACATTACTGTGCAACAGAACTGACAAATATAAGGAACTCAGTAAAATCAGAGGAAAATAAAAACACGCAAAATAGCAATATATGTAATAACTACAATGATGTTAAAACAAAGGTCACTAAGAGGAAACATAAAGAAATAACTGAAAAGCATAAATGTTCCCAGAGAATAGAGAATGAAATACAAGCCTTTCTTTCAGGGAGAGGCAGGAGAGGATGAGCAGAGAATGTTGCACGCATTGTCAGAATGGTCATTTTAGTAGGCATTTCTGTTGAACTTATTCTTTGTTAAGAGGGAAAGTTCAATTTGGAAGGGGGAAGACAAATAATTTCCAGAATTGACTCTGACCAAAGGCATCAATAAAACTTATTTTAAAAAATAAAGTGATAATAAACAGAAAAATATATGCTGCAGCCTACTTAAAAATCCACTCTTTACTTCCCCATTGCCCTTTGAGTCATCCATAATTTTGATTCTTCTGAAATCATGGTGTTCCATCACTGGAGATGAGTATTAAAAAGATATTTTTAAATGTTAGAGGAGTGCTTAGGATCATTGATAGTAACTTAATTATTTCTCAAATGCAATCCAATCTACTCTGTTCCTATTCAGTTCTGGGTCCAACTCGTTGCTCATAATGCATATGCATACAATGCCTGTCCAAATACTGGACTAACTTGGTGGATGACCCATCTATAATTGCATGGTTATAGGCAACATGTATTCTTCATCCACTTACTTGGTTTTTCATGTGTGGATTGTCAATCCATTCTTTTGTGTGGCTGTTGTTATCATTGGGGATGATAGGAAGATGGAACTTTATGAAATCAGTACAATGTCATTTTCAAACAGAATCATCTGGAAGACTTCACACTTCAGTATTTACTTTACCTTTACCTAATAATAATGATAATAACAGCTAGCATTTATATAGCACCTACTATGTGCCAGAGTACTGTGCTAAGCTTACCAATATTATCTCATTTGATCCTCACAGCAATCCTGGGATGTAGATGTTATTATTACCCCCATTTTACAGCTGAGGAAATGAAGGCAAACACAGGTTAAGTGACTTGTCCAGGGTCACACAGCTAGTGAGTGTCTGAGACCAGGTTTGAACTCGGGTCTCCCTGATACCAGGCCCAGCACTCTGTCCACTGAGTCATCTAGCTGCCTCAGTACTTTGTCTAACAACCTCTCCTGTTTCATTCTTCAACTGGAACCCAAAACTGAACACGTTGTTTACTCTAGAAGAGGTCTGAAGGAGGCTAAGAAGAGTGGGATTTGAGTGATTTCCCATTTCTGGAAACCTTCCCCTCTTAATGCAAACCCAAGATCATAATAGCCTCTATGGTCATTGTCCAGTAAAATCTTCAGTTTTTTTTTTCCAGAACTACTATCTCCCCACATCTCCGCTATGTTATACTTGTGAAGTAAATTTTTTGGTATGGAAGTGCCAAATTTTACATTTATCTCTTTTGAATTTTAGCTCATTAGATTCAGCCCAATCCTTCAGGGGTGGGGAACCTTCGGCCTCCAGGCCGCATGTGGCCCTTTGATTGAATCTAAACTTCACAGAACAAATAGTAAAAGGATTTATTCTGTAAAACTTGGACTCAGTCAAAAGACTGCACCCAAGTACCTAGAGGGCCACATGTCCCTGTAGGCCCCAGGTTCCCCACCCCTGCTTCATCTCATCATCGAACCATTGTCTGGCCATCCAATTCAATTCAGTTCTGAATCTCTCTGATTGTATTATCTAATTCATATCTTTCTATCTTCTCCACAAGAATAGTATGAGGTATTTACTCCCTTTCCCCACCTCAGTTGATTTACCCTTAGAAGTCTTAGAATATAATTGCAAGATGTTAATGAGGTATTAAACTGACTATAGAGATGATTCTATACCCTGGTGCTATTATGAGGTGCAAATTCCTTTCTGATTAAGCCAAGAAGTTCTTTGACTGAATAAACAAATAAGCCATATCTCAAGAGATGAAAGCAATTGTGGAGAGCCCTTTTGCGTCAGAAGGCACAGTTTGGTGGAGAGGGGTAAGGATCACGTTGATTTTGAGCTGTCTGACCAATAGAGAAAGATCTCATCCAGCAGGACTCAGAAACACATATTCTAGATAAGCATAGATAAAGAAAGACAGTCACCCAAAGGAAGAACTAGTTTCAGGGGTATAACACCCCAGGAGCCAGGCGTAGACTAGAGAAGAACAGACTTTGGGACCCAGCTGAGCAACTTGCCCAGCAGAGGTGCGGAACTCAAGGAGGACTTTGAAAGGACTGTACAAGGAGAGAAAAGACTTCTAGTCTCTAATACTAGGAGTTATAAGTTGTCTTTGACACACCTATATTTTGTAGATGTACTTCAGTAAATTTTACTTTAGGTTTGTGCTCACTATGTGTACTGTGTGTGTACTGTGTCTGTTTGTGGGAGAATGTACTCCAGGCTTATGGTAGAAATATTTGCAGTAATTATTTTCATTATATCATTTTAGGAAATGTCTTTGCTAAGAGTTAATTGTGTCTGTTGGCATTATCATTAATGAGAAGTGTCTCTGTGGGGGCTCATGGACTCTATCATGTAAGAAACACAGACACACAGAATATTAGAACCTGAGGGAGTATCCACCCTCTGGGAACCCAATGTGTGAGTGCAAAGGCAAGTTAGGGGAATAGCCCAGAGAAAGTACTTCACAAGTAAGAGGCAAGATCTTCAGCTGAGAAAAAGAGGGTGAAAGGGAGATGTGGAAGCATTGAAGAATTTTGGAATGTCAATAGAGAGTGGAATAAAAGGATTACTTTGCTGCAGTGAGGCCTGTGTTCAGTTCAGCTCAACATTTATTATGCACCTAGTCCATCCAACACACTCAGCTACGTAGTAGGGATATAAAGACAGATCTATGTCTGGTCCATCCTATGATGGTCACTTTCTTCAAGGAACTTACATTCTACTTGGGGGATGTAACCTGTACCCATCTAATAGTTGAGTGGGCAGAGACTTTGCTGGTGGGTAGGGAACTAATTACTCCCTCTTGGCTGCCTCTTCCCAACTACCCCCCTACCGCCCATATGTGGGTGCCACTTCTCGTTCCCAGTCTCCTTTCACATGAGTTTTTAGTTAGTGCTCTTCTTGGCTCTGACTCCTGAGGAAATGGTTTTCCTTTCAAACTTGAGGAAAAAACACGTAAAGAGGAGATGCTTGAGGCCAGTGCTAAAGCTAATTCCAGCTTGCTTACAAACCATTTGTTTATCTTGAGCCCCCCAGCTAGGAAGGTCCTAGTAATTAAAATTCATCTTTCTCTGGTGAATATACACAGATACACATATATATGTATATGTATACATATGTGTGTGCATGTGTATATATACATATATATATATAATGCACACACACCTCAGTTTAAAACCTACTTTTCTTTTCTGTATGTTTTACCACTTTTGACCTCTTCCTCACTTGCATTTAGTAATTAAACATAGAGATCCATAATGGAATGGTTGACCGTAATTTTTTTTCTCTTAGATAACTATTTTTGGGAAAAACAAAAACCAGCGAAACAAAAAGCAAAACAAACTCTTAAGAAACACGGATTGGGAAAAACTCATTTCTCTCTTTAGAAAATGAGAGTGGGAGAGTAGCAAAGGATGGGAAAGTGTGTGTTTACCAGGGCTCTTGTCAGCAGGTTGAATGGCTGCAGTTGTGTGTGTGTTTGGTGTGGCTTCTACATAGTTTGCCTGTTGTCTTTGTCTTAGCTCTCAGCATTTGCTCCAGCGTGTACATTGTGGTGTTGCCAGCTTGCCCTCCTGTCTGTGCCACTCCTGCTTCAGTGCTTGAGCCCTGGTGTAAACCCTTTCAATCTGATATAGGCTCTATATACACATTTGTGTTAAGCATATTTTCCCATTAGTCATGATATAAAGAACAATTAGAACTAATTGGAAGAACCACAAGAATGAAGTAATAAAACAAAACAACAAAGGAAAAGGAGAGCAAATAGTATGCTTCCATCTGCATTCAGACTCCGTATTTCTTTCCCTGGGTATGGACAGCAATTTCCATTGTAAGTTTTGGCGGGGGTGAGGGGAAGAAGTAGGAGGCCAAGAAAATTTAAAACTCAAAATCTTATGGAAATGAAAGTTGAAAACTAAAAATAAATAAATTATCCAAAAAAACCCCCCAAAACAAAACTGAGATTATAAAGGAAACAGTTAACTATGAATAGAATCTTTGAAGCAAATTCCTTTAATAAAGGTCTCATTTCCAAGATAAAAAACAAAAACAAAACCCCTGCTTTCCCAGGGGGTTCCCAGCACGCTCATACCTACCTCCCATGCTTGATCCAGCTTCAGACTTCTTTCATATTATTTCCCTCTATACTCTCCTTGTTTTAGCCAAACTGACCTACTAGCTATTTTTTTAACTTAGTATTCTGTTGTCTCTGTTCCCTTGCGTGGAATCATCCTAAATGGATTTTTTTTTTTGTCCTCACAGTGATTTCTAGTCCATCCTTCCCTCTTATTTCCCAGGCTCTGGTTTCACTTTTCCTCCCTTCCCAAGTTCAATTGTATAGTTAACCACTTCAACTACTATACTTGAATTCCTTGCCCCTTTTCCTACCATGGTAATTCTTTTTTTTAATATATTAATTAATTTTTAGTTTTCAACATTCACTTCCATAAGATTTTGAGTTCTAAATTTTCTCTCCCTCCTTCCCCTGTCCCCTCTCCAAGACAGTGTGCAATCTGTTATAGGCTATACATATACATTCATATTAAACATATTTTCAGTGGCTTATACTTGATAAACCTCAATCATGACTTATTCCTACCATCTACCTACACTCCTACTTTTTCTGAAGTGTTAGAAGAAATCACAGAACCTCTCTAATCTTTAGTTTCTCCCAATCTACAGCCTCCTCTTTTGCCTAAAAACCTATCTGCCTCCCTAGCCTTAAAAAAAAATCCCAAACCTCAGTAGATCTTTCCATATTTTCAAGCTCTTGTCCTCTAAGATCTTCTCTCCTCCCATCCACAGGCAATCTCTCAGAAAAAGTTATCTGCTCTTGTTGCTGCTTCAACTTGCTGTCTTCTCAACCGCTTCTCAACATATGGCAGTCTGGCTCAGGCTTATTCAACTGAAACTGCTTTCCAAAATTACCAGTATCTTTTTAAAAAAAATTAAATTAAATTTTGAAATTTTATTAATTTTTAATTAAATTAAATCAAATTTTTTAATTTTTAATTTTTAAAATTAAATTTTTAAAAATTGAATTAAAATTTTTTTTTCAATTAACAGGAATTTATTTTGTCTCCCACATCTTCCTGCCATGAACAGTAACAACAATAAAAGCCAAAACATTGAAACATATATGCATAGTCAAGCAAAATAAATTTTCACATTGCCCCTGTCAAAAAACCTATGTGTGTCTCATTCTGTCCATCACCTCTTTGTCAGGAACTGGGCAGCATTCTTCATTATCGGTCCCTTGGAATTATGATTGTTTATTGGGTCGATCAGAGTTCTTGAGCCTTTCAAAATTATTCATTTTTAGTGTTGATGTATTAATTGTTCTCTTGGTTTCACTCCATTCTGCATCACCCAGATCTTCCCACGTTTCTCTGAAAACATCCTTTTAATAATTTCTTTGAGCACAATAGTATTCTATTACATTCATGTACACTATTTTTGTTCAACCATTTCCCAAATGATGGCCACTACCCCCCAGTTTCAAATTGTCTACTTGCCAATCTGATGGCATTTGCCCAGTCTTTATCCTCTGTGCTGCATTTGACACTTGAACATCCTCTCTTCCTGATAGTTTCTTCTGTTTTTTTTTTTTTTTTGTGACATCGGTTTCCCTTTGTTCTTGTTTGTGTGACTCTTACTTAGGGTCCTTTGCTGGATCACCTTTCATATCCTACTCCCGGGGCAGCTAGGTGGCGCAGTGGATAGAGCACCGGCCCTGAAGTCAGGAGGACCTGAGTTCAAATCTGGCCTCAGACCAAACACTTGACACTTACTACCTGTGTGACCCTGGGCAAGTCACTTAATACCAATTGCCTAAAAAAAAAAAAAAACAAACCAAACCATATCCTACTCTCTAACAATAGGTGTGTCCTAAAGGCACAGTCGTGGACTCTTATCTCTCTCTAAGCTCTGTTGGGGACCTCATCAACTCTCCAAGGCTTAATCATCTTACAATTACACAGATGACCCCCAGAGCTTCAGTCTTATTTCAGTGTCCCATAGGCAACTCAAACTCAGCATGTCCAAAAAAGAACTCATCTTTTTCACAACCCACATCTCTTTTTTCTCTATTTCCTTCCTGTCACTGAGATTTGTAACCTCAGTTTTCCTTGACTCTTTATTCTCATTCCATATATCCAATTAGTTGCCACACCTTGTTGATTCTTCTTCCACAATATCTCTTACATCTGACCCCTTCTCTTCACTCTTACGGCCATAAAATTATCTTAGTTTAAACTCTTATCACCTCTCACTTGGGCTTTTACAATAGGCTCCTTATTGGTCCTTCTGCCTTCAGTCTTTCACTTCATCCTCCAAATAGTTAATGAAGGGATATTACTAAAGCACAAGTTGAACCATGTCACTTCTTTGCACAATAATCTCCTGTGGCTCCCCAATACGCCTAAAAATCAAACACAAACTCCTCTGTTTGGCATTTAAAGCCCTTTATAACCTGGCTGACCAATCTTATTTATACCTTACTCTCCTTCATGTACTCTACATTCTAGCAATGCTCCTCACACGTTATTCCATCTCTAATCTCTACCTTTGCCTAGGCTGTCCCCAGTGTCTGGAATACATCACATCTCTCACCATCAACTCCAGTGAAGTCACAGGTTAAAAAAAACAAGCCAAAAAAACAAAAAATAAAACCCAGCTACCTGTGACTCACAACTCAAGAATTCTAGTTGACTAAAAATTGTGCTTTATCTAGCAGTTTGAGAATATAGTTGAAATACAGAGCATGAAAAGACAATGAATGCCATCTTTGTTTTTTCCCCTTGTAGGAAACACAGAAAATCGTCTGTCCCTCCAGTTCCAGATTACGTTACTCTCACCACTAGAAACAAAGACACTTTGGGGTAAGGTCTTCCATGCCGGTTAGCAAGTATCTGTTTAAACTGGGTGCTGGATTGGGTGAAGAAAGTAGTGAAATACTCAACTGTGTTCCTATTTGAACTAAATTCTATTGTGTTTGCTGACTTGAGTTTAACTTTATTTCAGGGATGATTGCAATGTCCAGGATCAGACCTTCATCACCCAGCAAGTTCCACTCACAGAATCTAGTGGCCTTGTCCTTCCTGATATTCAAAAAGGACCAGATCATAGGGTATCATAGTAAGGTGTCTGTAATCTGATTAATTTCATATCCTTTTAAACCTTTCCAGATAGAGGTAATCACACATATTTCTTCTTTTTCTGGACAGGGAGCCCTTAGGATCTGTGCTGAGAAATAACAGCATAATTATGGGATCAGGGAAATTTTTTTTTAAGTATGGTCACACTAAAAAAAGGAACACTGTATTTAACATAAGATGAATTATGCCTCCCTTAGTGTGACATGTAGTTTTGGCTTGGCTGTTTATTTTAAAAGACACAAATGCACACATCCTTATGTTCTAGTAAATATAAACTACAATTGGTTTAGTTAGTGCAATCTCAGGAGTCCCTGTGACTATTTAATTTCACATGAAATTTATACAATATGACCTATTATTACCCAGCCTATGAATTATTGGAATCAAACACGTGAGTGCATACATGCTTGGATATACAGTCACACACATTATGGGTTCTCACATACACACCTAAATTTACATATATTAACCAATCAAATCACACAATTTTATAAGAGAATAAAACAAGGGGCATTCTACCTTTCCAAATATAGATCTTTGTTACCTTAATTAAAAGATAGCACTTCAGAAGAGATGTTCCTATTGTGCCATATCTTTTTTTGAAATTTAGGCTCTAGATGATTTAAAGTGATCTAATTTGGTCCAACATTCCCTTTGGTAAAGTCAGCAATAAGCCTACTACATATGTGATAACTTGGCATTTTATAGTATCTGACAATCTTTAATTTACTAAATACCCCAGTGAGTTTGCTCACTGGAGAAACAGAGAAATACATGTCTTTTCTTTGAAATGAGAGGATTAGACTAGACCATTTTTAAGGTCCCTTGATTTGCTTTAAATCTGCTTATCCTATAAGTGATCCAGCCCCTATCAGAGAGTCAAAGCCTTGTATGGGATGAATACTAGAGCTTGCTCTTTTGGGCCCAGAAACTTGTTCACTGGCTGATGATATATCACATTAGAAGTATATATAAGATATTTGAAATCAGCAAAAAAGAGATTACCGACTCAAAGTCAACATCTTCCTCTTTTAGTTCCATTCTGACCAATACAGCTTAGTTAACACTAAAATCAAGGAAGGAAAGTTAGGCATAAGGTCATTTGAAACAAGGCATACCAGTCATGTTGCTGTCATAACGCAATCCAGGCTTTATAGTATCTTTGTGTCATGAAAAGAATTGAAATTTCTCTTATGCTACAAGATGTCTTTAAAGGAATTGCCCTTTAATCAAATGACATAACTAAAAAATGCAGAGAGGACATAAAAGCATATGTATAACAACAGTCAGAGTTCTTCCCTGTAAGAAATCAAGAAGTATGATGACACAACTTATTTCCTCAAAGATTCCTTCTCCATTTCATAATAGAAAGATTTTTTTATTTCTAAGACTGATAAAACACTTGGAGTAGTTTGCTGAAATAGTGCCGTGTGTTTGTGGTCACTCTTCCAAACACAATAATTGAACAAAAAAGTTATTTTTCCAGACGACTCTGGGAAAAAAGTACTTTTAACAGTGGCATTTTGAAGTAGAAGAGACTGACAGAACCATAAAAATAAAACATGGTCAGTCAATCACTGATGCTATTACGGAGGGTTATATTCTGGGGTCCAAAAAGTAGACAACATCCAGTCCTATTTTGTGTTTTAAGACTTCTTCCACCAATTACTGGAACTCTCCTTTGGAGACACTAATGTCTCCCCTGACCCCATTTCCACCTCCAACCCCACCTCTCCTCTGGGTTCTCCCTTTATATAAGAATTTCACAGTTAAAATAGTAAGCAATTGAAAACCCTATATTGAAAATGTGACCACCAGGTGTAGTAACAAAAGCACTATATAGGAAAAGGAGGTCCCAAGGACGATCTGCCTGAAGGACTCATTCCCAGTGCATTGTGTGTGAATAATGTAAGCACAGTTGACAAGATCTATGGGAGAGATGGTTAAGGAGAGACAGCAGTTATTCAGGATAGAAAAAGCCTACTAAAAGTCCTTCTTAATGGCCCATAGTTGGCATAACTACAGCAGGTGCAGTTAGCACGGAGTCTTCTTCTTTCCACTGAGAAGTAATGGTCTTTACCTGTGTGTAGAATTGGATGCCCTAAATGGAACAAGAGGAAAAAAAAATTAGCACCAGTTCAAGTGGTTCCTATGAGTTAAGTAATATCTATAACTAAAACTCATTGTACTAGATGCTGTAAAATTGTGAAATGTTTGTGTAGAATAGTCAGAATAATTGAGAGAAAGTGATTAAAAAGTGATACATACTTCCTCCTTCTGGAAATTTGTAAACAATGTAATTGGCCATCAAAACCCAAGCACACTTTTGAATACCTGATCATGAGCAGAATGTGTCCAACACCCTCAAAAAGAACCTATCTTAAGCAACCTTAAAATCCTTACCCTGATCAATCTCCTACCAAATATTATGAGATTAGCCCTTAATTTTCATGAAGAAATAAAAACAAAATCCTTCAAACTTTAATTGTTTTAAGGCCCTGATAACCTGGAAAATGAGGCCTAAAACTATTAATCAGCCTATCCACATACGCTTGCCAAAGTGGTATAATTTGAACACTCATTTCAGCCATTTCTCAGTGAGTGACCAAGTGAATGACCTCTTTTGATAAAGCTGAAGCCCTCAACTTAAACTATAAGAGTAAGCAGCAACTTTGTTAACTTTTGCATAAATGAAATTTTTCTTAATTGAAAATAAAATAGCTAATGGATGGTAACTCTTACCAAGCCCAATGAACTATTTTTCTATAACTTGTCCCTCTCACCCTCCCAAAAAGCCAGTTAGTGTTTATCTGTTTAGTATATTTTTAAAGTACCATAAAATTGTTCCTGACCATGCTTCAATTGAATCTTATGGCAATGTGTGTCTAAAAGGGCAAGCTATAATGTAATATAACCTATAATTCATTATAATACTATAATGAATCCATTTAGGGGATAAGATTAATCTTATTTCTTAGATGTGAGAGTTATAAGGTAGTAATATATAATCTAGGCCCCTTTCTGGAATATACTGTATCCAACTTTCTTCTGAAGTGAGCAGTAGTGTGATATATAGAGTGCTGGACCTGGAACCATGTAAGAACTGGCTTTAATTCTGCCTTAGATTCTTAGATAGTAAAAATGAATTGTCATTTTGATAAATCCCCTTCTAATATTATTTGGTGAAACCTGACCCATTACTCTAAGAAAAATTAAATTTGATCCAATTAAACATTATTCTATTTAAGATATAAAACTATACTTTTTGAAACTATAGAAATAAGATGCATTCACCTGTAGTTTCCACACAACGTAAGAGTAACCATTTCCTTAGGGTAATAACCAATATGATTTTAAAATCTTGACTTGCCTTTCTAGAATCATTTTTCTTTATTAACAAGGGAAGTAGTATAGGTATAAAAGCATGCAATCCAGAGGATTAATATGTCTGTCTGTGGTCCTTGTGGTAGGATATTTACTCTTCTGGACAAAGTTTTTCATGTACTGCTAAGATTTTTTGATTTGCACGTTTACAATAGGGTTTTGCTAGTATCTGAATCAAATCAACACATGGGATCAGAACCAGAAGGGACCTTAGTGAGACTCAAGTCTCAGTCCCTTCATTTCACAGATGAGGAAACTAAGGTCTAGAGAGATTATATAATTTGAACAATATCACACAGGTAGCAAGCGGCAGAAGTGGGATTCAAATTCAGATCCTCTGTCTCTAAATCCAGGGCTCCTTTCACTGTATTAGATTCTTTCTCTAAAAGGGAAGAATTCAAACAAGCACTACTGGTTTGAAAATATATGCATTCTATTGCAGCATTTAAGGTTTTATCTTTTATTAACAACCATACTCAAACAATCTGCTTAAAGATGGATAAGATGAAAATCAGAATCCTTTTTTCCTCAAAGAAACTGGTCCCTAGGCAGTAATAATCTTTGCTTGATTGTAACTCTTAACTTGGGAAGTCAACTCATATTGTGATGTTTATTTAGCAGTCAAATCTAAGCATGAACTTGGGGGGAAGATATGTATAACTGAAAATCACACATGATTCCCAAATCTTTAGGTTATGGTTTCAAATCTCCCATCTCTTAAAGTGCTTGTAACTAAAGCTGCTAATGAATAGTAAGTTTCAATCATAAAGCTGGTCACCAGGTGACAAATCGTTTTGGCCACAGCAACCATCTCCTAAAGTATGGAGAGATTTCGATATCTGTTGGTAGAGCAAGTGCCCAATAATGTTGAAATCACAGCTCCTTTAAAGTAATGTTCTAGTGACTTATTTCTCCTGCTTGTAGCCTATGAATGAGCAGGGCTCCAAAACAGGAAAAAAGAAGCAATTAGATCTGGATAATATATTAAATCAATAAACATTTCTTAAATAACCAAGACTGACTACTCAGAGATACTTAACCAAAAGCCAATACAACATTAAGCCAAGAAACTTGAGTTTCCATTTCAGAATTACATTTAGCTTGTCAAAGGGGGAACACAGTCACTATTAAATAGTGATTCTATTGCTACAGAAATGGAAATCAGCAAAGACCGTGCAATTTAAGAATGAATTTACAGAATGGTACCTCTCTTCAGAAAGGATAAGTCTTAGAGAAGTGGTAGCAGGAATAAAAATATAAACACAACCTACCATTAATGGAGGACTTTCATTTTCAAGGTACTATCATGTAATTACTATTTCATTTTAACAACATTTGTATCAAGCAGGTGGGAGGTTCTTCGTTTTACAGAAGAGGAAACTGAAAACAGAGAGGTTCTGATCTTTTGCTTAGTTTAGTCTGTGCTGGAGTCTAAACTCTAGGCTGTCAGTGTTTTTTTTCACAAAATTATACTGCCCTAATGGCACATAGGAGATTATTCTAGTATGATTCTCATCTCTTGGGTCACAGCAAGTATAGAGAAACATAGGTTGCCATGGTAAAATCTATGCTAACTACATTAAAATTCCTTCTAGGGGAATTTTAGGGGACCCACAGTAGTACCTCTAAACTTAACCTTACTTCATGTAAACTGTTGGCAATCTTTTTGCAGTAGCCTGACAAGTATGTCATTCTTCCTCCATACATCCAAGAGGAGATTCATTAAGCAAAAATATAGCAACCATTTCTAATACTTAAGTTATTTACCTGTTTGCCATAAAAATTGGTTTCTCCTCTGAAGGAAGAGCGAGATCCCGTAAATGAGAACATTGGCAAAGGCACTGGAATAGGGACATTCACACCCACCTAATACAGAGTAAATAGAAGTTAACCATTAAGCCAGGAAATACAACAACTAAAATTTCTATCTAGTGAAAATTATGAAACCCACAATGAATCCTTATGATGGAAGAAAGTTATATGTAAGACTAATGTCGCATATATCACTCTTTTAAGTAGGTTCCATTGACTGTTCCCTTTGTTGGCTACCAAATCTTAGAAAACAAAAAACTGTTATGGGACCCATCTAAAATATACTTCACAAACCTGCCCCACATCCACCAAGTGAGAGTATTTTCGAGCAATGGCTCCATTGGCAGTAAAAATGGCAGTTCCATTTCCATATGGATTGTCATTCACCATCTTGATGGCTTCATCCAAAGTGTCTGCCTCCATAACCACTAGAACTGGACCAAAAATCTCCTCTTTGTAACAGGTCATATTTGGCTGATAAGACAATGAATTGGAAAAAGAATGATATGGGATATTGCATCCTTTACCATCATACTATAATTCCTCTCCCTTTTCACATACTACATCAATAGTTCCTCCCCAGTGAATACTGTATAAAATGCTTACTTACAATTCTAATTTACAACCTTTGTTTTCCCATGCATCTGAATTAATATGACTTTTGCCTATTTTAGCCCAGACAATTTGTCAAAAAATATCTTATTTGATTTATACCAAGAA